TTCCACAGTGTTTCCAGGGCACTGCTGCATTTTGCCTCCATGCTTCAGGTAAGGGGTTTTTGTTGGGGTTTTTTTCGTTTTTGTTTTCTTTTGGGGGTTTTTTGGGGGGGGTAGTTGTTTTTGGTTTGTTTGTTTGTTTTTGGAGGGGGGGGGGGGTTAACTTTTTCCCCACCCTCCTTCTCCCCCACGGTTTCAAGTTATTTCCAGCCAAATCACAGTTTTAAGGAGCCTGAAATCCCTTGAAGCCCAAATTACAGTGGTCCCCAACTACAGGACCAGCTCTCATTTGGTACTGGCAGCAGCACTCAAAGCCACCCCGTCAGGATCAGGACCCAACTGCATCAAGTCCTTTATGCAACTGTCACGAGGGAAAGGCCCTGGAAACAGCATGTACCTCAAGCTGAGGCTGAAGGTTCCCTTTCCCCTTCAGGGAATCAGTGGGAGTCAGTGAAGGTCTAGCTCTGCCCCGGCTCCCTGGCTGAAAGTCCAGCTCTTCAGACACCGCAGCCTTTAAGTCGAGGAGTTTCTGAGCTTTACTGTCCAGGGACTGACAAACAGGGACGTCTCTAGCAGCGACCATAAAGTGCAAAGAGGAGTCTGGAGGCAATGGCTTGCCTAGGTGAGCATTTTCCTGCTCTGTCCGGAGAGGGTCTGCTTCCACAGCCCTCGCATTACTGAGATTTGTTTCTTCTTCACTCGAGTCATCAGGTATAATAATTCGTGAGGTTTTCTTCTTTGCCAAGGGAAGAGCACAGTAGTTTTCTGTCCTGTCCTGATTTAGCTTCCTTCTGCGGCGAGTGAGGTATTGTTTCCTTCCACTGACACATTCCTCATCTTTTAGAAAATCAAAATTGACACACACTTCGTCTTCGCCAGAGTCACTTTTTCTGTAGGTCTCTTCCTCTTCCTCCTCCTCTTCAACACAGAAACTGTCTTCTAAATAAGTCTCGTCTTGCTCAGGAATCTGGAAAGAAAAAGCAACATGCATGAAAACACGACGTAATATCACTTTAGACTTGGCGCCCCGTATGAAAGTGATGGGGAAGCATGCACACGTGCTAGATTCATACCAACTCGAGTGTAAAACACACTACCTAACTTTGAGTTACTTTAATTGAGGGACAGATCTGGCAGTCCTACATGCAAGTACTTCCCTTAGATTTAATGGGAAATGTGTATGTGCAAGGACTGCACCACCGGGCCCATTAGCAGGGGAAATCATTTAATGCAAATACTGATCATAGAATCATAGGGAAGTGGGGCTGGAAGGGACCTCCAGGGGTCATCTAGTCCAGCCACTGCCCAAAGCAGGATCATCCTTATTCAAACCACCCTATACAACCCTAATCTAAACTCATTACATAAGACTCCCCTCAACCTTGACTCAACAAAGACCTAACACCCAAACCTGCCACAGGGAAAACGGGAACCACGGCAGCCAACGTTCTGCTTCTCTGAAATGTTTTCAATATACACTCAAGATCTCGGGTAGAGCCCAGGCCCCCTGCTACAGAGGAAGGCAGCCCCCCTCAGTCCATACCACTCTGATGACGGAGTAAAATTCCCTCTTCACCCCAGATATGGCGACTGGTCTGGCCCTGAGCAGAGGGGCACGACAGTCTGACCAGGAACATGCAGCAGAAGCACTGGCACACCCCAACATCCTCAAACTTGGCTGCAGCCAACACCAAATGCCTCTGAAGACAGCTTGTAAACAGCCCAGAACAACAGGGTGGGAGTGGGGTAACCAGCAAAATCCAGAAGTATGGCAAATGCTGATGAAATGTAGCATGAGAAATTAAGATTAATAGTTCTAAAACTGCACTGTAAGCAGGCTAGCCAAATTTCATTTTTCACTATATGCAGTTGACAAACAGTTTCAAATTGTTTCAGTACAGAAAAGCAGTTGTCATCTATTTTTAGTTGTAGATTCTAGGAAACAGTCCTGGCCCCCACATAATACATTCCCAAGTTTTTGCATGAAACGCGGGTCCCATCTTTTACCACCTGCACCACACAAATTTCCCAACACGTGTAACACTGCTGCCATGAACATTTTTCCTGTAATTTCACATTTTGCTTTCAAAATAGAATAAACCATAACTCACACTTCAATGCCCACAGGTGTAGGCAACACAAAAGCAAATTCCGTAACGTAAGAGAGTTCAGAACTAGAGGTGCACCGATATATCAGCCCATATTGGATTGACACTGATAAAAGGAAAATTGACATTATGGGCAATTGGCTTTTTTGGCCGGTGTAGCCAACATCACTGATAAACGCCATGTGCATATGCGCAGCCACAGCATGCACATGGCCAGGAATGCAGCCTGGCAGCTTGGAGAGCAGTGTCTGGTTGGTAAGTCTCTGGGGGGTGGAAGATGTGGGGGGCAGACTGAGGCCCCCATGGTGAGGGAGGAAGTGAAACTGGGGCAGGGCCGGGCACTGCCCAGCCAGGGCAGGTGGGGTGCAAGATGGAGCCATGGGTGGCTCATCTAGGGGACGTGGGGCATGGGGAGGGGAGCAGGGCAGCTCCTGCCGCTGCATACACCCCTGGGAGAAGCCTGAAGGGCATGTGCTCCTGGTTTTGTGCATGGGATGAGGGTGGGCTACCTGCTGTGGGCTTGGGGCTGGAGGCTGTGCCTGGCTCTTCCCAGTGGGGGCTGGACCAGGGCTACGCTCAGGGTGGACAGAGGCGGGGTAGGGCGGATGGCATTGGCCCTGGGAGGTGGGAGGGGCTATAGGGTGGGCTACAGCCACCCCAAAATTCGCCATAGCCACTGTATAGCACCCCCTCTCAATGCCAGCACTGCCCACCCCAAGCACAGCCCTGGCCCAGCCCCCACCAGGAAGAAGCTGGCACAGCTCCTGGCCCCAACCCTGCAGTAGGCAGCCCACCTTTGCCCCATGCACAAATCCAGGGGGCACATGTCCCCCATGCCTCCCCCAGGGGTGCATGCAGTAGTGGGGAGCTGGAAAGGTGGGTGCAGCAGAACTGGATTTAGTTCAATAAGGTTAAATGTAGAGTGCTTCATCTAGGGAGAAGTAACCAGCAACATAAATATAGGTTAGGAGGAGATGCCCTGATGGCTGAAAGGGACCTGGGGGTTATGGTTGACCACAAGATGAACACGAGCTGCCAGTGCAATGCTGTAGTCAGAGCTGACAGCACACTGGGATGCATTAACTGATGTGACATGAGCAAGGCTAAGGAAGTGATACGTCCTCTCTACTCGGTGCTGCTGAGACCCCAGCTGGAGTACCGTGCCCAGTTCTGGGTGCTGCACTTTGAAAAAGATGTGGAGAATCTTGAAAGGGTGCAGAGAAGGGCCACAAGAATGATCAAGGGCCAGGAGGACAAACCTTATGAGGAAAGACTAAGGGATCTGGGACTGTTCAGCCTGGGGACTTGGTGGCCATCTATGAGTATGTACGGGGTGAATATCAGGAGCTGGGAGAAAAACTGTTCACTGGGGCGCCCCAGGAGAGGACAAGGAGCAATGGCCATAAACTGTTAAGAGAATGGTTTCAGGTTGGATGCAAGGAAGAGCTTCTTTATGGTGAGGGTGACCAGAACCTGAAACAGACTTCCCAAAGAGGTCATCCCAAGTCCCCAGCCTTGGAAGTCTTCAAGAGGACGCTGGACAGATGCAAAAACAGTCTTGTCACTTAATGTGGAGACTCACACTTGGGGGATGTGGGTAGTAAAATAACCTATATAAAGTAGAAAAGAAACCCTCAGCCCTAATTGATGGGAATTGTCTACTTTCTGTTTCTCAGTAAGGGAGAGGATGAAATAATGACAAACACTTTCACCCCAAGTTATTTGTTAAATTCTCTCTCCACAAAAAGTATGGAAAAACATAACAGAAGCATGTGCCTCTGCCAGCAATCACTGTATTGATTATTTGTTCTTCATCTGAAGGTAACCACCCAAAGCTAGGACTCACTGTTCAGGCAAAGGGGTTGCAATCATGCCCATAGGAAACTAAAGTTTCTGTTTCAAGTTTAAATGCATTACACATCAGGAGGAATGTCCTCATTGTGCTTTATACCTGTGAGAAAACTGCCATATTGCTGCGTCCTTTATGCACCATCTTGTACCTATTGCCAAGAGCTGGACTCCGCACAGATTTCAAGTAAACTTGTTGCATCTCAGAGTCTGAATCAAAAAGAGAGAAAGAGAGAAGTCACATTTTATTAAGTTTAATGACAGTCATTTTCCATTGGCAAAAATATACATTTCCTTTCAAGATGTCACCAAAGGAACATCCCATTGTAAAGTGGACTTCAGCTTCTCCATGCTGGAGTACAACACAAAACTTCCTCATAATATCTCCCCAAACATGGTGCAGGACTGGATGGATCCATTCTCCTCCTCCATTACGAGTCTGGTATTTAATGGATTTGGCTCCCAACATGCACCACTGCTCTAGCTCTCTTTTACCCTGTAAGCCTCTCTTCCCAAATGGACATAGCCATTTGCTCCTTATGAGTCATTCTGAAAGTAGGGATGAAGTTACTGAAATCCAGCATAGCATTCAGGCCTGCAATGCAGGATTCCCTTTGGTTTGAGAGATGCCCAAGGTGAGGGTGATTCCATTATGCTACCCTACAGCCCTCCGTCCAGACAAACAGCCTTCTAGAATCAAAGCACCCACTTATTTAACATCAGTACACAGCTCTACTTCGACAAAAAATTCCCAGCACCTGCCCTACATGAAACAGAGGTTTCCATTCAAGATCACATGAAGATGTCACATCCCAGATATGCCCAGGAAGGACAGGAACTCCAAGGGAAATATCAGTGTGGTTCAGGAGAGACCCCAAGTTTACTTAAAATTACTACTCAGCTGGAGTGACCCCTCCATACTACCGCAGCAGGATTTCTCTAACACAGATGTCAACTGGCACCAACGGCCCTCATGGAACACAAATCAGAGTTTAATGCATTGCCCTCCTTGCACTCTCAAAGACAGGCCTCTGGGAAGGGAAGAACCAGCTCACAGCAGTTTTCCAGTTTCATCATGTGGGAAAAATCCTTTCCCCCTGCCAAAGTTAAAAATCAGGCTAGAGCCCAAGAGAACCAGAAAGGCAGAAACAAAATTAAGGACAATCTGGAGCAGGAAGCCCAGACTACTCTGGTTACTCTGCCCAAATAGCAAGTTGCATCAACTCTCCTTTTATGCTTCTCCACCAGATGGGAGCCAAGCACCTGGTTCCAGCAGCCACAGGCAAGCAAGGTCCCAGAGCTTGGGGTCAAAGTCAGTTTGATGACTTCAGGATGAGGAAAGAGAGAACTACTTCCAGAAGCTGAAAGCAGAGGGAGAGGGAGAAACTCATGGGAACACTGTTTCAGCTGCATCCAGCTGAGATCTGCTTCCCCACACCCCAGCCCCTCCAACCCAAACCCAGCAAGAGGAGCCATAGAGCAAAACTCTTCTGGCAGTTAGATCTTTCTCTCCCTCCCACTACGATATCTACTTTTCTTCTCCCACTCTACTGTCCCCTCCTTTCTTCCTCGTTCCCATATTCAACAACTGGACACGATGCACTGTCTTTTTTCACACTTGTTACTTTCATTGCTTGGAAATACTTGGTCCTTTTTCTGCAACAGAGTCCATAACAGAGTGCATCTACAAAAGTTACCGGCAAAGTCAGATCTCAGTGAGAAAACCCAGATAAAAAACCCCAAAACAATATTTTGAGTAGAAGCAAAGAGTGATTTTGTTAATATACCATTTAAAACCTGCGTAATCTCTGCTTCATCATCAAGGAACTGATTGAGTGAGGAGTTCGGATCATTCTCTGAGTAAACACTCTCGTCAGATGACACATCCTCTGCATCTTCTTGGGAAAGCTCAGCTTCCTCATCTAAAAATTGTCTGGCTGCATTCTAAAGAAATCCAAACAGGCCGTTCATTTACAGTTGCAGAATTCAGAGCAAAGACAGTAATTGACAATATAGACAAGCTCTTTTCTTAAAATCAGTTCACAGATTCAGAAGAGCCTTGGTTCTCAGACGGCCACAAATTTCAAGCTTCAAACTGAAATGAAAATGCATCTCAAGGAAGAGATCTCTGAAAAAGTTCAGTCAGTGTGTTGCAAATGAAGTTAGACTGATGTAAACCAAGATGAAAGGAGGGTTGTTTGTTATCATACCAGCGAGTCACCAAAACAGTAAAGAGATGATATTCTCAGTTCTGCAAACTTTACAACTGGACTGTGTACAGCCATGTTCACTGAGCTGGAAGGGTTATCTACTACAACCCCCTGGACTTTTGCTAGATTTAGAGTAGTGCTCCATCCATCAAAAATCCTGATTGTAGGACCCAAGCTAGTGTCACTGTACTGTGCTGTGTAGACACAGAATTCATCTGGAGGTGGTAGAGGTATCTCTGCATTGTACCACATCCCCGCTTCCCATCTCCCGGGGAGGTAGAGGTCTTATGTGAATAATCTCACTTCCTCTGAATAGCTTTCCAGGACTGAATTAAGATAGAAAATAATATAACAAACACTGATATCACTATTGTTTATGTTCTTTCTATGTGTTGGATTTGGAATTAAACATTTAAAAAAAAAAAAAAAAAATCAGGCTGGGCCATGTGGAACTAATACTTTTGCAATCCTCCATCTACATGCTTGGTCTGTGGTTTACTGTCATCCTTTAATATATGCCTTGTGTCCTTTACACTAGCTGCCAATGTTGGCATTTTGTTTCAGAATATCACGGTATCAGTGCACTCAGGACTTCCACTGAAGATGACCTGGGCTCTGAGAACCCACCTGCAAATGTGCAGGAAACAGAACTGAAGTCAGCACTGCCAACCCAAGACTGAGAAATGAGTATTTGTCCAACTCTTTGTCAAATGATGCATAGTTTAATTCAGTCATACAATGAGACTCCTTGATCATATTGTAATTCTGACCACTAGGCATATTTATTAAAGACTGTATGGCACTCATTCATCTCAGTTAAGAGTGCAAGACAAATCCTTAAAAGCAATTTCTCTATGCCGACTCATTTTAAAAATTAGCCAATTTAGAAAACATGCATTAACATTCACCATTTTTACTATTGATTTAATTTTGCATTACATTCATTTGGACATTAACTAGTATCTGGTTAGTTTCACTACCTGGTTTCTCCTAAATGACGCATCATTTTGTTTGTCTATAGAAGACAAAGGAATATTTACATTAAAACCAGACAAAATGTACTGAATTGTTGTTAGTCTCAAAAGTATTTCTGATCAGTAAGTTGTGCTTTGTTGCACCTCAATATATACATCTGAAATAATGTAAGCTAAGCTACCATTTAAAAACCTGTAAAAAGCATATGAACAGAATCATGTAAAATTCATACCTTAAACATAAGGTTGTTTTCAGTCTTTTTCCTTTTCACACCTTTTAACTGTTTCTTGTTACAGCTCCTCAAGTTGAAATCCATAGTTCCGACTGATTTCTCATGAAAATCCATTCCTTCATCGCTAGAGAGGTCTGACTAGAGTATGTTACAAACACTTAAGTAATAGAAAAATATATGCCATGAAGACCATTCATAATTACCCCACTTATTTTTCAGTATCTTTTATTAAAGTGAGATCTGATTAGTAAATTCCAACAAAACAAACATTAATACAAATCCTTCTATAAAGCATGGAAGCCACTCGGGTTTTGAGAATGGGACAAGAAACCTCATATCATCTGGGAAAAAGACCAAGTCAAAAGTAATGCAAAAATGCAATCCAAGGCATGACAAGATCGAACGGTCACAAACTCCACTGTGACCAATTCAGGCTGGACATAAGAAAGAACTTCTTCACTGTCCGAGCCCCCAAGGTTTGGAACAGACTGCCGCTGGAGGTGGTTCAAGCACCCACTATGAACGCCTCCAAGACACATTTGGATGCTTATCTTGCTGGGATCCTATGATCCCAGCTGACTTCCTGCCCCTGGGGCAGAGGCCTGGACTTGATGATCCTCCAGGGTCCCTTCCAGCCCAAATGTCTATGAAATCTATGAAATGTTGGGGGCTCAGCAGTTGAAAGACTCATATGTTACAAGAAGAGAGGCTCAGCACTCGACATCACAAACGTATAGTTTATTTCTACATATACTGATAAATTCATCTTAAATAAAATCTACAAGGATGAAAAGTCAGATGGAAGAAATTAAACACACCAGGACTAGAGGCTATAAGCTTTCCACCAAAGAATGGCCCTGATGAGACGATTCTCAAATGTCAGCATGAATAATTTAGCTTTTTGGCAACTAAAATGAGTAAGTCTTTGTTAGTAGATTCCAGTGCTGACTAAACTTCCAGATCATTTGATTTTGCCCAAGAGCAAGCCAAAACAATCTGTTAAATGAACATTTTAAGCAATATCTAAAAACCCAGGGTCATTTCAGTTAACAATTTGCTGGGTGTTTTAAGCAAACATACTGTTAAATCACAGCATGCAGAATTCCTGCTCTCTAGTTGGTTAGCAAATACAATGGCTAAACCATCATAAAGTATACCCACAATAGGAGCATGAACCAATTTAACTAAATCTGTTTTTAAAATAAGTCGTTAACAATCTAGGCAACTGTAATCTGGTAATGGGTATACACCTGCCCATCTGAAATATGATATTTTGTAATTAAAGGATAAAATGTTAACATTCAAGAATGTTCTCTACGATTATAGTAGTCTGCTGCATTTTAAGAGGCTGTTGCTCAGGTAGTAAAAATATTCATCAAATACAGAAGAGTTCAACAATTCAAGTTTCCACTTCCCTAGGTGAGTTTTACCCTGCATCTATAAAGGGGGTTGGGATGTAAATATATTTTTAAAAATTATCTGTTTAACCTCCACTAATTATAGCGGCTAAATGGTTAACCAATGAGACATACCTAATTTAATGAGCTCTGGCAGGAATGGCCCTGGCCTCTTATGTCTTCACTGTGCAGTGGCGCAGCAGGAATCCTGGGGAGAATATTAAGGCTGCAACAGCAGCCTACCAGGCTGTAGCTGCTTCAGGAATGCCCTGGGGCTGCACTCATTGTGTGAGGGCCAACGGTGACCCCTCGGACCCAGTGCCACCTGCTCCGGCTGCTGTGGCACTTCCATGGGCCAAGCCAGCCATGTGCTCAGCCCTGCCTCCCTTAGGACTCTATACAAAAACGTAAAAATTGCATTACCAGGTCAGACCAAAGGTCTGTCAAGCCCAGCGTCCTGTGTGACATCCTGTTTTCCCTTTTGTTGTCCCAAGGAATCTATTGCTATGCTTCTAGTACCTTCTCTAAGTGAGGGAGGGTTAGCATTGACTTTGTGGGCCTAGCCCCATCACACCTTGTATAACAAGGAGGCCTGTTGTTGAACAACAGATGCTCTAGTGCAGTGGTAGACAACCTTTTTGGGAAGTGTGCCTCAAGTTAAGTGCAAGACTGAGATAGTGCCAATCTAATAATTAGTCACTGCCGTTCCCAGCGGGATGTGGCAACACTATGCTCAGTGGCATGTAGTGCTGCAGCTACTAGCACGGCCCACCCCTTGAGGCAGCTCCAACCCCTTACTCTCAACCCCATTCCCGACTGCCAACCCCAGCACCACCTTTAACTCAGCATCTAGGGTTCATGCGCCAAACACAGCAGCTGCGCTTGCCATTTGTGGCACATGCCAGTTTGGGCCCCCTTCTCTAAAAGAAGAGTATAAGAAGTGGGGTATATGTAGGGTGCTCCATTCAAATGCTCTGCCAGCCATTTGTGGTAGGTCATATCCCTAACTGTTGTGCTGAATAGCCTCCAATGGACTTATCTTCCATGCATTTGCCTATCATTCCAAAAGGGCAGGCAATGTGGAGGTGGGTCGGCAATGCTCCGCTGCAGAGTGTGAATGTTGTTAATCCCAATTGCAAGAGTTGTCTGAGTGACATGGAGGTCACACTGGACAATACTGGCAGGGTATAAGGGAAGACACTCCCTAGCAGCCAGGCTGTAAAGTAGGCTGGCAATCTCCCTACCAGCCTCTTAAAAAACATTTTTATAAGAAGTTTTCTGAGCCATCTGAAAAGATGGACTCTCTGCACTAGAGAAGATCATCACTGATATCAAATTAACCTAGGATTAAAGAGGCTAAAGATTAGATTTAAATTAGAAATGATAAAAGAGGTTAATTTGCAAGAAGTGGCTGCAGTCCTGAGGAGTGCTGCATGTTAAAATGCACTGCCAACTTTATTTTGCTGAACTGTAAATATTTTCCATTAGTGAGGTTCTTTCCTCTAAAGTAAACTAGAAGACGGTAGGTTTTCCTAAAGAACAAGAAAGATTCCTTGACAATGAGGAAAGCATTAGACGAATTAAAAATTCAAACAAATTACATTTATTAACTTCCTTCCTATATTGTTCAAGCATTTACTTACTATGTTAAGTGCATGCCTACGTTTTTTGACAGCACAAATTGGTGACTCCAAATCGCTGTTACTCATAACCTAAGTATAGAGAAAAAGGTGCAAATGTAATTACAGAGTGCAGAAAATTTTGCTTTGGGTATGATAATATGTATTTTAAGACTCACATCAGGAGAGTTCAAAACATTTCCTTTTTTCTTGTTTTTCCTTTGAAAAAAAATCTCTTCTTCACTTTCACTGCTACTTCCTATGGAGAGGCAAGGAACAAATAACAATTGTAGAAGTAATTAGCTTACTTGACTAGAAAAACAGACAAAGACCAGATGTACTGATACTGCTCTGAGATAAGGAATCCGTATTCCTACATTCCTTGGGTTATCTTGATATATTGCCCTATACATAGATAGTTTGTTTAAGTAAAACTTTCTAAGTTTCTGTGTAATTTACTATTGTTTTGTTTCTCCAAGGTGTATTTTTTATGTCTTTCTCTGTCTTAAGTATAAATACGCTTGTAACCTTAGAGAGTCTGAGAAATCCTTTGAAACAGACAAGTGGGTGATTCCCCTTGCTGTATGGAATTCTCCCTGTGATCACAGTATAGCCCTAAATAAAGAAAAGCTGGCTCTGTCAGTTCTGATTCAACCACAACGCGAAGTTTGATTTCTTCCACACAATCGTAAGAAGATATTCTCCATAATACAACATAGCTCTGACTATCAAAATCAGCATGTCTTTAAAATGGTTCAAAAAGTTGCTATTTATCAATGTATGTGGTGAAAATTGCTCCCTTGTTAGTCAAATAAAAAGTATCCCACTGAAATGCGAAGGTCTGACCTCCCCCTTTTGATTGTATGAATTGAAGTGATTACCCAAACTGTAGTGAAAATGAAAATTAAAGAGAAAGAAACCAGAAACAAAAAAAGGAACTCAAAGTAACACCCCCAAATTATCAGCAAAGATGTTACATATTTTTCACTCTGCCTTTATCACCAGATCTTTCATTTGGTTGCACTAAAACAAAAGAAAAATGATTGAAAACTCTTATCAAATCCATAGCTGTTTCTGCATTTGTTTTCTAAAGAGTTGCACTGAATTATGTTCCGTGTGATGTTTTCTGAAAGACTGCATATTCTCCTCACAGCCCAAGACGTAAAACTTAGAGTTGGTATTTGACTGGTCAAAGAAATGTGCAGTCAATTGACAATATGTGACCAGTCAATTGACCAAACTTTATTTGACCGGTCAAATACCCAAGCCTACATAAAACTGTTTTTGTGACCCTTATACCTCCTGATCTTTGATAAAGAAAAATCATCTTGAACAAGCTCTTTAAATTGCAAGTGGAGCCAACTAGAGGGATTTCAAGAGATGTTCCATCTTAGCTCCAATTTCCACTCAAGTGGGCTAAGACTGCCTGGTATTTGCTGTGGCTGCAATATGCAAGCTTGTTTTTTTGTGCAGAGTGCAAGGTGATCACTGGCTTAACTCTTTAATGGACAAAGCACTAATAAGTAATAACAATTCATTCTTCCAAAGCAAAACGTTCAAACTTTAAATTATTTGGATTATTTTCCATTACAAGAAAAGCTGCTGAATAAGAAACCTCATTTGCTATTTTCTGTTTTATTCCACTACATTTGTTTTTCATCTCGAGAGCTTAGACGTTTATTAAAGGTGCTTGATCGAGCATCCTGAAGACTGAAGAGACAGACATAGTGCAAGAAGCTTCTACAGTGTCCCAAACCAGGTTCTGGAAGGAGCCCAGGCTTCTGGCAAAAGTAGATATCGGAGAATTCACTGACTGAAGGTGCAGGCAGAGTCCCACATAGACCAGCAACAGAATTGTGAAGGCATGGAGTTAGCGACTACATTGGAACAGAAAAGGCTGATTACAAGCAAGATACTGAGAGGATTAAAAGAGAGGTTTTAAAGGCAGCTGCAGGCCACAATGTACATCTCACATGGTCACATCAACATTTGTATTCAGGTTTTAGGGGTTTAACACAGAGCAGGAAAAGCTGCATTTATATTCATACATTTCAGCCAGAAACTGATGTGCTTGAATAGGTCCCTTGCTTGTTAACTATGCTACAAATTTACCAGCTGATGCTTGACTGTGTACAAAACTGCAGTGCTCCTCAGTCTTTTCTGTATTGTGGCCCCTTTCAGATCACCACTCACCTACCTGTAGAAACCTTGGGGCTGTGATCCTCCTGTTGAGGCTGATGCCACATAACTGAGCACTGATGAAAGACTGGACTGGAAACGGCTGGACGAGCTGAGTATTAAACTCCTCCTTCTCCCCCCTTCAAGACGACCAATCTTTAAATGAACTTCACAGTGAAACTTACCTTCTGCTGGAAATGCACCAGAAATGGGCAGTTTCGTAGGCTCTGGGTTCTTCGCCTTTCCTAAGGGGAGATCCAGTAGACCTGGTGTAGCAAAGGCTGAATTTGGGAAGAGTTTAACACATCTAATATTTACTTTATTTGTACCCTGCATTAGTGGAATTTCCTGCCCAATTCTAGAAAAAGCATTTGCAGGTATTCTTTTGGGGTCTCTCACCCCCACAACTCTTCTACCTGTTGGGATAGATGATATCAACACTAAAGAGTCAGGTGATACAAATGTCTTTTTAGGTGTTGAATTCAAAGATGAAGCCACGGGGATACAGTTTTCGGTCATTTTGGCTGAACCACTGCCCTGATCTTGTGGTGCAGAAAAGTTTATTCTACCACAGCTTTCATCCTTTGATTTTGGCGGAGACAGAAGCCCCGAGTTACCATTTAATAACTCGTTTTCATCTTCAATAGGTTTGACGTCTGTGTGACTGTCCGAGACTTCATCTGGGTTTTGAATACTAGCATTCATGTCTGCTTCCACTAAAAGTTCATCTTCAGACTCTTGAACAGAAAATCCTAGGTCAAAGTTAACAGAGAATAACTCCTGAGAACAGTCAGACAGATCTTCATTGTCCAGAAACTGTTTGCTTAAAAAATCTTTGGACACTTTCAAATTTTCAGTTCTACAACTTGACAGTGATTCCCTAGGATTTGTATCACCGCCTGGACGGCACTCGTCTGGCATATGCCATTCAGAGCCTTGTGCAGCAACTGGCTTAGTAACTTGGTCACACAACTCTGATGCCTCTAACAGCTGAAAGTTGGGAGAAAAGTGTGCCTCAGAAATGTCTTCATCTTCAAACAAGTTTATGCTCTCCTCGTGGACAGAGGGCACATTTTTCTGATTCTCAGCGTTCTCTTCATACCCTTCACCCAAACGTTCATCTGAAGGGCTCTTTGTCAGATCTTCCTTTAGCACTTGTATGTGTGCATCCTTGTCACCATCAAAGATGTCATCCCAGCTAATCTTATCAATTGTTTTATTAATACAAGCCTCAGAAAAGCAGCTGTTTTCTGAAGGAGAATTATTCCTGGAGGAACGTAACTTAAGGGGTGTTTTTAATTCAGAGACTCTCTCAGGGGACAGAAATGAACTTTGGACTTCTGGGAAAGCAGTTTTGTCCTGCACTCTCTCTGTGGAAGCGTGAGAAATACCTTTCTGAAAACAACAGAATTCATCTTCTCTAGTTTCTTCCCATCTTTCAAAATCATCAAGTGTATTCAAAGGGGGAGGAGACTGGGATAAAAGCCTTTGTACATTGGCTAGCATTGCCTTTATCCATGAAGGATCCTCGGAGGGAGTCGTGAGTGAACATGAATCCAACTCTGCTTCAGGTAGGTAAAATAAGTCGGGTGAAAAAGATGACTCGTCATGTGTGATGCTACCATAACCAGAATCTGCACAGTTTCTCTCCAGTACATTACAGGATCTATCTTTAGATTTGTGTTCCAGTATTCCCTCACTTTCACGACTAGTAATATTTTCACCAAAATCATTTGAGGCAATAAATCCATTTAAGTCAAGTGTCACCTTTCCCATTTCCTCATTTGGTAGAGTTTTCTGATCAGTATGTTCAACACCAGGGTCTCCTCCCATTGTAAAGGAATCTAAAATGGTATTTGTTCCTGCAGACTCTTCCAAGTGAAATGCTGAAGTTCTTTTTGTGCTCTTGCAATTGGTGGTTTTAAACAGGGAAATGCATTCAGAATCCATCTCAGTTATGCTAGGTGGAAAAGGCTTTGTTTTGGATGCACGCACCACACTTTTTCTGGATGCATGTGCCTTCTGAGCAAGTATGGAGTTGCTGGTAGAAAGGCTTTTACTCTTTTGAGCATCTGAGCACATAACATCTTCCATCTGCAAGTAAGGCTGGAGTTCCAGTTCATAGCTGCAGTCCCCCTGATGAGAAACAAAGCAGAGCTTTAAGATCAAATAACAACAAACCAGTTCACGTGGACACTTCCATAAAGCTGCACAATACAGAGACCAAGGTTTTGCTACCCTTAAACATTTTTACAGTGGGACAGAAAAATGTTTGTATTTTAAAGCCAGTTTTTAAGAGGAAAGGCCACCAGAGGTTCAGCTCCTAAACCAGTATTTAAAAAACCCCTGGTTGAAAATTCTGGCCTAGGGTTTGTTTCTTTCTTTCTTTCTTTTAAACCACCACCAAAATTAAAAACAATGTTCTTACCGGGATCTGCAAGGCATAATAACCTGCATTTCCTAGGCAGATTTTATATCAGCAACCAACTAAACAGAGAACTCTCAGTTTCACTAACAGGTGACTTTTCTTCATAATAATGGTTTATAGGCATTTTCCCCTCAACGATTCCATCAGTCTTAAAGCCATTTCAGTCCCCTGCCCTCACCCTCTTCAGGGCTAGTCTGGAATACAAGGGCTCTGAGCAGCCAAACCTGTGATTAAAATGCCGATGCCCATCTGAAACCTTCTACATATCTCCTTGCACTTGGTACCAGCAATGCTAGTGAGAGAAGAACAGTTTAAGGGGGAAAAAATTGTTCAAGCACATCTCATGATGGTGATCTACACAGATACCATGAAGGAGAGATGTTACTATTACTTGTTCACCAAATGCATCGTCTTTTGCATATCCACCAGCAGACACATCTCAAATACCATTTCAGAGTGACCCTAGCCAGTTTTAAAAGATGGGAGGATGTTTTCAATTCAAGCATGTGATGTTATTTTCCTCAAGCAGTATACTTTCTCAAGTCAAAACTCCAGAATAAAATGTAGGCAGAAGAAACTGCTCACGTATAATGTACCTGGCAGTTTCCAGCAGCTGGATTTTAGAAAAAGGGTGCATACTGTATGTGAGAAAAGAAGATATTTATGTATCCTCAGCTATCAAACATTCCACACAGACTTACTCTATTTTTAACTAAGTGCAGATTCATTTCTTCTACATGGTTGGGAATAAAACCCTTTTTCTGGTAAAATGGCAGCATATTCTTGGCCATAGTTTTAAAAAGGAAACTGCTCCTGCAAGAAGGATCCCTGAAAGGAAAAAAGATGACTGAATTGTTACATGACCTCAGAATAAACTCCTACTTGAGAGTTTCTTCCTTTGAAGAAATACAGTCCCCAAGAATAGGAGAAAAGGACTGGAGCCTTTAGCAACAAGTACTTGGAACTGATCTAATTCAAAGCAAGTACACTGATCAGAAAAGAAAAAGAAGGGCCAGGAGCTCAAAGAAAGCACAACCATCCCTTTTCCAGAATGCCTGAGTGAATAACTCCAGTTCCAGAAATTAGGCAAAAGTGAAGGCCACTTAGTTAAGTGGCTTGCAAAAGAAGAGGATTGATCGTGGATATAGAGGGAGTTGGACCACTTGGTAAGCTGGGCACAATCACAAACATGTATTTTAACATGGCTGAATTATAAAGTCATTTATCTACAGAACAAAAGGGTTGATAGTAGTTTTACTGAGAATTTAGATTATGGATTTGTACAGGATAGCTTACATGGGCATGATCCTGCCTCAGGCAGGGAGTTGGACTAGAAGACCTCTGGAGGTCCCTTCCAGCCTGACTTTTCTATGAAAAAATCCAGGCTCTATATTGAAGATGGGGGAGACTCCACACTAGGAAGCTGGAGTTAGTTTAGTAGATGGCCTAACAAAAGGGTGTCAAATATACAGCCCACCAGCTGGATCTGGCCCATAGAAAAATATTATAGGCCTGGAAAATGTTCCCTACAGTGAGAAAGGCAGACCTCAATCTTTTTCGCCTCACAAAAAAAAGGTGAAGGGATGACTTGATCAATCTGTAAGTACCTATTTGGGGAATTAAAATGCATCCAGTAGACAAAGTTATAACAAAATCCAATGGCTGGAAGATGAAACTAGTCATGTTCTGGACTAGAAATAAGATGAATTTTGAACATAAGGGCACTTGGCCATTGGAACAAATGAACAAGGGTCATTAGATAGTCTTCCAAAACATGTGCCCTAGTTAAAACACGAATGGCTTCAAGGAAGTCCTACAGCTATTGCATGCAAGTTGACAGATTATGATCACAATCATTCCTTCTGGCTTCAGAGTATACAAATCTAGGACTGGTGTGTCAGATCCCACCCACATGCCAGATGTAACCTGTAAGTATATCAGCTCACTCAGAGAAAGATGGTGCTGTTCATTTTAAAGCAAGTTGGGTACCTTTTTGATGTGAAAAATTGTATTTTCTAATATTTTTGTGCTAGTATCTGTTTAATAAAAAAGCATACAAGAAAAGATCTCTCAAGAAAAGATGACATATACTAGTAAAATATAATCTCATGTTAGCAGCTATGATTACTAGTGTAATAAATGGGGTCGCTGAACTGAAGATCACAATGAATATGTGAAAGGTTTTATTAAAAGATTTTCATGAGTTTGAATTATTTCGGTAGAAAGATAATTTTATAGCTTGCTTGCTTGAGTGCCCGAACTGGTGCCTGCAATGATTTTCTCTCTGTAACGTAGGCCTAAAAGAGCAGCAGAAAATTTCCAAGTATTCTTCACAATATAGTGCTATTGCTTTCATCACTGCTGAAATAATATATTTTAAAACTATTCAGGTATGATAAAAATGGTGCTGTATTAAAAGTAATTCATTCATTATTTGCAGTCCTGTACAACCCAGAAGCACTAGTCATGGAACCAGTTGGTTCTTGTGCTACATATTGTACAAACAAAAAAGGTCCCAACTCCAAAGACCTTGAAGTCCAAGACAAGAGGCAAGTGATGGACACAAACAGACGGGGGAGACCCAGGAGACCATGAGATAATATTTTAAACAGAACATGGATAGCAAAGGTATTGCTGGATCCCAAATCCTTTCCATCTTTCCTAAACTTTAGTGCTCCTTTATATGGCTACAAATGATACAAACCTAATCATCTGCATTTCTTATCTACACAAGTACTACAAGTCACATGTATCCAAAAGCAGTTCATAAGCTACAATACTAGCCAGCTCAAATATTAGAAATAAATAAATGTACTGCTTCATGTTATGTCACTAGTATGTTAAGGATGTCCGAAAATGCCAGATAAAATGCCAGGTATCCAGGTTGTAGCCATATTTGTCTAAAGGGAAAGGCAATCAGGACTTGTAGTAGAGATGATCTCTTTTATTAGACCAAGATTTTTGCAAAAATATTTCTTTAATTGCAAGCTTTTGGCACAAACACCCTTCATCAGGCACTGGAGAAAAGATCGTCAAAGTTCTCCTGGGTAGAAATGAAAGTTCACATTTCACAGGATTTCACAGAGGAGTCTATGGACTCCTCTGTAATATGAACTTTCATTTCTACCCAGATAAAATGCCATCACTCAACTGATATTATGCAAGAGGATAACAGAAGGATGTCTTCGCAAAGACAATTCAACAAATGTTGCCAGTTGTCCACAAAAGATGGATGTATCAATGTTTTCTGTCAGCTTTACTGTCAGTAAGGCTTAAAACACCCTTACAGCCTTGTATGAAAGGTTACGGGCTCTCTTTGCTTTTGCTAGAGAAGGAGAGAAAAATTTTTTTTTGATTAGCTCACTGTTGCCCACCTTACCAAGCTTCTCGTCAACAGATTTGCAAGAATTTTGAGGCAAAGGATTTAGTCTAAGTAATTATTTTGTTCATGAGTTAGACCTGATTCGGTGTCTGGATAATGAATTAGAACCAGGGAGTTGGAAAGAACCTTAGGGGTCATCTAGATCCAACCTGTCCGCACAGAAGCAGAATTTGCTATCCCAGAGAGAAGCCTATCCAATCAGTATCCAAATATCTTGCTGCCAGCTTCGTCAGGTTCCTAGATCCATGCGTCACGAAGGCAGCAGCTAGGTTTTTCTTGCTGTTGTCGTCCTTTTTTTCCCCTCCCTTTCTAAGCATTCAGCGAAGGCCAAGAGTTACTGCATCAAGATATCGGCTCTTTGATGAAGCACCTGACTGGTAGGGAATCTCTAAAGGCAAATAAAGTTTCACAGTCCTTCTGCAGACGGTGGTAGTGGATGGGTCCTTCTCAACCTGGAAGGACGTGGGCAGTGGGGTCCCCCAGGGCTCGGTCCTCGGGCCCGCACTGTTCAACATCTTCGTCAGTGACTTGGACGAGGGGGTAAAAAGCACCCATTCAAATTTGCTGATGACACTAAGATGTGGGGGGATGTGGGCACGCTAGAAGGAAGCAACAGGCTACAATCAGACCTTGACAGGTTGCAAGGATGGGTGGATGAGAATAGGATGGGATTCAACACAGACAAGTGCAAGGTTATGCACCTGGGGAGAAACAACTGGCACCATACCT